ATAACTAAAAAAAACCAAAATATCACTGAGCAAATTAAGCATTTGATATCTTGCTTAAAGTAATAACCTTTCTTTTTCCGTCCCATAAAACTTTTTAATATTTAAAAATTATCCACTGATATAATTCTAGCAAAAAGCCACTCAAATGGCAATATATACTTTAAGTAACCTAGTTCCCAAATACAGAAATCAGTATCAAAATAAACAAAAGCTATAGAGGATAAGAACTATATTATTTAAAAACGGTGTTTCTCATTTAGGTCTCACACAAAAACCTTATGAGAAAAGTTTACTTTCATCTCCTTTTAAAAATGAAGAGGCTGAGGCTTAGAGAGATCAATAATTTGACCAAGGTATCAATTGCTGGTCAAGTCATAAGGCAGTGAAACACACATACAGACTTGTCAGAGTTCAGAGCCTCCACACCTAATTATTATACATGCCTCCTAAAAAATCACATTTCTAATTAATCAAGTTGTAAAAACTAAAAAGAAATACCCATAAGCAGTTTGATCTTTTCAAATCTTATAAGTACGAGGGCAAATGACCTGTAGAAAAACTAGAAAGGATGGACAAGAGACAGAGCTAATGGGGTTAAAGAGGTAGTGATGAAAAACCTTATATATGTCACTGAGTTTTGAACTTACCTTCTAGGTCATGAGGAGCTATTAAAGGAACTAACAATGACCCCATTTATTTGCTTTTTGGAAATTATGCTCTGGCAGGGAAGGGACCAGATGGAAAATAATAATGTCAGAGTATAAGTGAGGTAAGGACCTGAACTATGGTAACTAAGTGCCAGTGGGAACAAATATTCTAGACTTTATGAAAGAGAATCAATCAGACTCTCTGAGCTAAGAGAGGCAGGGGGACAAGGATAATGCCAATGTCTAGGTAGAAGGTGGATGATGGAACAAGCAAGTAGGGGAACAAAAGAGAAGAACCAAATGGGGAGCAGGGATAAAAGATGAGTTGATTTAAAACTTAAGAAGTTTGTGGAGGTTATAGGTTTTTCAGTTGGCAGTTTAGAAAAAATGAGTCTGGAAGCTTAGAGAGAGAGAAGTACAGGAGTTATAATTTGGGAAATTCTTACAGTCTATGCATTGTATTGGCCTTTCCTTTAGTTTAAACTTTGAACTATGGCCTAGAGCAGAACCATAGATAATCCATATATACATTTAGGGATCAGGTAAAATAAAAAGAATTAACTAGAAAGTCTGAGAAGGAATAGTCTGAAGTATGGATAAGGAAAAGAGTGCTGTCACAGAAGCCAAAGGAGGAAGATTTAAAGAAGCAGGGAATCAACACACTCGGAGACTGGATAAATTAAAGAGTAAAGGGATCCAACCATAAAGTTGAGAATGGGGTGTTTTAGGAGACATAAAGATGTAAAAAGTAAGACATACTATCAGAGGTAGAGGTTTAGGAGTAGCAGCAACAGCTACAGCCATGGACTCTTGGGCTCCTGCTCAGCAGTATCAATGCATTCCAACTGTCACAGCAGTGGTGACAGCCAGAGCCTTCAGCAGCATTAGAGGCAAAAGCCAGGTGGCTCCAGCCCTGAGGCTCCAGGAACAGTTTACTCATCTCTAGGTAATCCTCTTCTCCAGCCTTTCCAATACCTTTGTAACAATTTTCTAAAATTAAACCTTTTCCTATTTGAGATAGCATGATTTCTGTTTTCCTGACTGGACACTAACTCATACAGTATTTGGCAGCAGACTGGTCCCAGGAAACAGTTCCTCAAAGATGAAAATCTGGATTTGGTCCAAACTCAAGCAATCTTAAGTTGATTATTTAAACAACTATTTTGCTACTACATGTCATTTTCCATGGCGATGAGGGCATTGTGGAGTTCAAGCCCAATTAGGTCAGAGGACCAACCCCAGATCCTAAGGGGTGCTACTGCTGTTGGAACCCTGATGCTGCAAAAGCTAAGCAGAAATCCAGAAGCCCATACACCAATTAAGCTGCTGTTACAAGCCTTCGAACTCCCTACCATTTAAGTACCAAAGAGTAGGAATGGGTTGACTGCCAATAAACCAATAATTAGCAGGAACTGTACCAGAGATGTTGCAACAGAAGGAAAAATGCAGATCAATTTTGATAGATTAGGGGTGAAGGAAGATGGAAAAGACGTTATTCAATAGGTAAAATGAAAATTAGGATGAAAGGGCATTTTCCCTGCAAGCCAGTTCAAGCAACAAGATGTAGATGGGAACCCATACAGTCAACAAGATGAAACGAAGACAGGTGAATAAAAATAAAGTGAGGCAGATCTAGGAAAATTTTATACCAATTTCAAAAATGCTTTACAATAAACCTGTATGCGAATCAAACCTTGTTAAGACCAAATTTAAAATTCACATTTGGAAAATGGAAAACTACTTGCTTTAAGGAAAGGAGTATGCTTAACTCTAAGGGTGAATTTTAAAGGATTCAGTATATAAAATATTAAAAGTCTTTAGTAATACTATTAATTAAATAATCATCTAAGTCAATCGCTACTTGCTTTAAGGAAAGGAGTATGCTTAACTCTAAGGGTGAATTTTAAAGGATTCAGTATGTAAAATATTAAAAGTCTTTAGTAATACTATTAATTAAATAATCATCTAAGTCAATCGTTTTATAGCTCAAGTATAAGCAACCATGAAAATTAACACATTATCATGATCTAGAAAAGTGAAACTTAAACCTCTTCCCTATCTCTTAGTTTATTTTACAAGGTAAAATAGATACTCACCGAGTGCACTTGTTGCATCTTCAAAAAGGTTTGACCGAGAAGAATCTCCTGATGTACTGTAAAAAGTTTTTAGAAAAATCACATTTCAAAAAGTATGTAAAATTTAATTTACATTAGTTTAGTAACTATATGATTTATAAGGAGATTCTTTGATTTTCATTAAAGTCTGGCTACAGTGTTTAAAGAATCTCTTCTAGATTAAATCCAAAATTTATGGTTTTGGAAAAATTTCCAATCTGAATAAATACTACTGTTCTGAGAATCCCTCATTTTAAATGTCCAAAGACATAAAATAACATCCTTACAGATAGCTTACTACCTACCTAAGGAATACAAAAAAGATAATGTATAATTATTTTCCTGAAGAAATTTACTTGAGAAGTTAATCTATAAGTCAAGTCACAGCAGAAGAAATACCAAAAGCAGTGTGTGATAAAACAGCACACATAGAAATCAAATTAGGCTGGGATGTTTTTACATAGTGAGGTCTTACAGATTAAGTTTTGAACAAGGAAACTGAAAGAAGACATTCAAGTCAAGAAATAATAGCATACGCAAAAAAGGCAGAGGTGGGATAAATCCAAGTTCTAACCTAAAAGAAACCAGTTTAAAAAGACTAAGTTTCTGTTCGGGAATTGAAAGTGATTCTGTGATTAAAAAACAAAGACAAGATTATGAAAGACCATGAAGAACAGTCCAAAGAAAAATAAACGGAAGTTTACAAAAGCGGTAAAGGTAGCAGTTAGAAGTTGAAATTAAAACACACACACAACACATACCTATGCCTCTATCCCAGTTTTAAAAACAAAAACACATTATACTCCAGTTCTGAGAAAGTCTTCTGTAGCACAGCCAGAGCGAAGGAACCCCAGTTTGAATTTATAAACTACTTAAACTTTCTAAGCCTCAGTTTCTCCATCAATACAATAAAGTCAACAATAGTATCATATACTCTAAAGTGCTGTGAGTAGAACCTGGCATCAAAACACCTAATATGACTAATATGATTAAAATAATTCTTTGGTATAAGTTTTTAAGTTTCTTCATCAATGAGATAGTAAAACTAACATGTAACAAAGGTAAAATTGTCAGAAAGAACAATAAATAAAAGCTAAATAATTTTCCTACCCAAAACCCCACCCAGGGACAACCTCTAAGAATAACGACTTATGTCATGCTTTTTTTTTTTTTTTAACTTAACAATTATTCCATGTCAGCACAATCAAATCTACCTCAATTTTTTCCCACAGACATATAGTATTCTACTTAATAGACCAATTCAAGCTCTTATTAAGGAATGTGTAGTTTTGGTTTCCAATTTTTAAATTCTTTCTGTAGTCAAATTTATCAGTCTTTCCTGCTCTGACTTTTTTGGGTTATCTTGCTTAGGAAGAACTTCCTCAAGTTAAGATTATTCTGACTTTTCCCCTTGTTCTCTACTAGTTTATGGCCTCACTTTTGCATTTTAACCATCTAGAATTTAGCTTGGATAGGGATCCACCCTTTTCCCCTCCAGATGGTGAAGCATTTACCCCAACAGTATTTTTCCCAATGGTCATCTGAAATTACATCTTTATCTTATATGAAGTTCCTTTATCTATTTGGGTCTATTTCTAGACTACTGTCTATTTTATTGAGCAAGCTTTCTAATATAAGCCATTCCAAACTTACTCATTGCTGTGTATAATACGTTTTAATATCTGCAGCACTAATCTCCCTCAGAATAATTCACACTACTTTCACACATTGTTTTAAAAATTTATATTTAAGGGCCGGCCCGGTGGCGCACTGGATAGTGCGCCGCTTGGGAAGCACGGCGGCGCTCCCGACCAAGGGTTCGGATCCCACATACAGACCGGTTCCCGCTCACTGGCTGAGCGAGGCGCGGGAGCAACACCGAGGCTTGCGATCCCGTTGCCGGTCCCCGGTCCAGTACGGGGGCAACACTGAGGGTGGCGACCCGTGGCCGGACACGGAAAAAGACAAAAAGGAAAAAAAAAAAAATTTATATTTAAGGGCCGGCCCGGTGGCGCACTGGATAGTGCGCCGCTTGGGAAGCACGGCGGCGCTCCCGACCAAGGGTTCGGATCCCACATACAGACCGGTTCCCGCTCACTGGCTGAGCGAGGCGCGGGAGCAACACCGAGGCTTGCGATCCCGTTGCCGGTCCCCGGTCCAGTACGGGGGCAACACTGAGGGTGGCGACCCGTGGCCGGACACGGAAAAAGACAAAAAGGAAAAAAAAAAAAATTTATATTTAAGCATTACAGATAAGACAGAGGCATACTTAAACCACCACTCTTCAATCTGGACTCTGCCTCACCACTTCTCCCCTCATCACAGAGGAAACCACTCATCATTTAGTTTCACCCTTTCCTACATTCCTACAAATACATTAACACACATACCCACAGAAATGAACAAAGTTGTTTTATGGTTTTTGCTTAGGTTATAGTTGTTGCCCACGCTATTTTGTAATCTGCTTTTTTCATTCAATAACAAAGCTTTGAAACCACATTCACTTAATATGCTTATATACTACAGACTTTAACTGTCTCTAATATATGGGTTTATCAAATTTGAGCAAGCCTAAAAACTCACAAGGAGAGCTTGTTAAAAATACGGATGTCTGGGATCTACCTCCAGAAAATTCTAATCGAGAGGACTGTGGTGGGGCCTAAGAAATCATTTCAAACAAACTCTTCAGTCATTCTGATGTTGCCTGTCGACTACCACACTTTGAGTAGCGTTGCTCTACAGTATGAATAAACCACATGTCAAGCTGTTCCCTTACTGACAGGTACTTAGGTTGAATCCAATTTGTACTCGGCTACAAACAAGACAGTCTTTGTGCACAAGAGCAGTTTCTCTAAGGTAGATCCCTTACTGACAGGTACTTAGGTTGAATCCAATTTGTACTCGGCTACAAACAAGACAGTCTTGGTGCACAAGAGCAGTTCTCTAAGGTAGATAACAACAAGTGAAATTCGTACTGTGATAGGTGGTTTTTAAAAACAAAACTGATCTAAAGAAACAGATCCTTAATAATAAAATGTCAGGCCAGTGGTGATGGACAAACTTTCTGACACCCCACAAATTCATACCAACATATTTCCTGATAATTATTCACTAAGTTTTGAGCTTTACAGGATACTATATGTTTCAAAACAAAGATGAAGGGACTAAGGCACATTTGAGCAGCTTGTTTTCTGAGCTTCTCTCATCCTTCCCTTCCTGTGTTATCCTTCTCTGAGATGTATAATCTTGAGAAATAAGAATTAATTAACTGGTGTGCAAAGTTCAAATAAATAAAAGACTCTATCTTCTTTCCTGAATCACTGACCATCAACTCTTTAATGCAACCTCTGTAGGACTGAAAAGTCAGTAATCCTGACTCTTTAGAATAGGTAAATAAAACTGTACTCCTAGGAAGAAAAGAAAAAAAGAGATAATAAAGAAACATTTAAATTGATGATATTAGCACATCAAAATATATTGATCAATTTTGAAATTCTCACACTGTGAGCTTTTTTAAAAGCTTAAAGCATTTAGGAAAAAAAGATATACTGTACAGATTTAATTAGGTTTACAGTATCTAAATGGTTTGGGGAACCAATATCTTAAATTTGTAAGTTCCCTCTCACACACAGAATTGATCAACAGCCCTTTGATGTAATACCTTAACCTGACTGGGTGGCCTCCCACTAAGTAAGACAGTTTCCAGCTATATATGGGAGAGATGGATAAAGTTAGGCAATGGTGTCTCATAGAATGCCTAAAGCAAAGAGTTCCAGGCAAGCACAGGGAAATATTTCATTACTTGAACCTGTGCTGTCTTCTCAGGTTAATCAATTTTTCAGAAAGAGACTGAGTGAGCAGTGAACCAAGTGACTAAGACTCCTCCACAAATGGTTGACTGTGTCAGACACAGAAACCACACTTAAACGCATAACACTAACATGAAAGATCATAACTGTATTCTCTCTGATCATTGTCATATCATAAACACACTGCCATGTCAGTAAATATTTCCAGTCACTGCACAATTTGTGTCTGGTTCTAATTCCAAGGATCATAAAACTACTGCCACTGAGATCCTAAGCTGCACTAAGTCATAAAACACAAATAGCTCTAGTACAAGTGAAGGCAGGCCATAAAATGTCTCATGCTCTTAGATAAAGGTGGGATTCCCACCAAGAGAACTTCCAGCCAAGAGAACACCAATAAAGCATTTGCTTTGGTCATTTTATTGATCATTTGGGGAGAAAAACATCTTTGTCATAAACTGCTCAATAATCCTACCTACCAACTTTCAGCAAGAAATTATTTCTTTCTCCCCAAACATCCCAGCACTTTTTTCCTTTTTTTCTAAAGATCTATACAAGTACACAAAGATATAGAAATAACAGTGAAAAATGGAAACAATCCATAGGTTCAATGAAAGATATGGAGTGAAATATCAACAATTGCTCATACTTCCTCAGTACTTACTGTGTATCATGTACTATTTTATATCTCTGACACTTATTATTTCATTTAATCCTTACAACAACTTTATCAGACAGGTCCTATTGTCACCTACATTTTACAGATGACGGAAAAACCCAAAGATGTTAATTACTTTTCTAAGGTTACAAGACCTAACAAATGTCAGAACCAAACACGATGCTACGCAATGACTGGAAATATCTATGGACATGAAAGGATGCTTATGATATATGACAATGATCAGAAACAACAGATATAGATCAAACACAGATAACAATGACTGGAATAGTAACATCATGTTATTTTATAATCATTGTTCTTTTTGGTTATTTGTATCTCATAATGTCTCTATTCAAAATGAATAATGACTTTGACCCTCTACCCCCGCTCCAAAAAATTAATGCAGAGTGTAGAAATCTGAATTACGGAAATTTGTACCTATATTCTCCTCAGTAAACTATCAAGATAGACACAAGGATATGTTTTAGAGTGCAAAGTTCAGAAAAAGCTTAACATAATAGATAGTCTGATCAAAACAATAATCAAAATAAACATATGCACGAAGCTCTTGTTATACACATATTTTGAGATACAATTTCCTAGAATCCAGTTCACACCTGTCAGTTGATGTTGGGCTAGTAGCCACTGGCGTCTCTGCTGGCTTTTCTGCAGGCTTCTCTTGTTTAGTTGCACTAGCAGGTGCAGGTTCAGAAGATGCTGTTGTTGATGCTGGAGTGATGGATGCAGGTGTGGAAGTGGGAGCCAAAGCAGGGGTGGGGGCTGGGGCCTGAGCCACAGCTGTTGCTGTGGAGGAACTAACTGTGGTAGTGGTGGCAGAATTTGATTGCTGAGTTGTAGCTGGTGCTGGTGTTGTCACTGCTTTGGGCTAAACACATGAAAAAGCAAAATAATGAACTATGACAAAATACTACATTATATTACCTGATCTCTAATTAGGCTGTGTTGTTACAGAATGCTACAAACAAAGGTAACATCAATACAAACTTGTAATCTGAAAATAACTTGTAAGATGACATGACAAATGATTGATATTAGCAATCTTAATCACTTTATTGCTACTTGCAAAGTTCATGAGAACATATATGTTATCTTAATATCAACCTCATTTAGCTTTAGCCAACAATTCAGTCTTCATATCAAATTAACATAAAAAAGCAAAAGAAATCAATACTTAAAAATATATAGAATATGTATCTAAAAGAGGAACCACATAATTTTCCAAAAACAAACTTTATGTACCTTGGTTATAACTTTAAAGGGTCTACTGCCATTTAAAAGTATTACCAAAATAATTTTTTTGAAATGGAAGTATAAATAGAAGTGTGATTATTAATGAACAAAGCTAAGTATTCTGTTGCATTTTAGAAGCAGGAGGAATATCCCAATATTGACTATAAATGAACAGGTACAAGTACAAAGAGGGTAACAACATTCTGAGACCTATATGTAAATAGGAATAAAAAGTCCAAATAAAGTTATAAGCACATGCTCAGCACTACACAAAGATGAAGATTTAGGTTTTTAAGCATCAAAACTATAATAACCAATCTAGATTAAAATGTATTTTAAATGAATAACACCTTAATATTTTCCTTATTTGTGATCAATATAATATTGTAATGTACCATGTTTCCAAGGTCTCTATTGCCACAAAGAATTATTTCAGCCTTATTCTGAGTAGTACAGAGCCCCTCTGCTTTTTGAAGTTCTTCTTGCTTTTGATCTTAACAGGTTTTCCCTCTCTCTTTGTTATAAGGTCATTTCTCATTGCTTCCATAATGCCTAGCTGAAGCAGCCCTTTTCCCCTTCTAATAGTTGGTTTCTACTATTAACTTCAAAATAAAACCACCATGGGTATCATTAAAATCCTATACAAGAATAAACAGACTCCCAAGTATCTATTCCTCAAATAATGTACCTACTCTGAGAACTTTTCTGCTTATTTCTTAGTTATATTCTGAATAGTCAAAGTTACCATGATATTAAAGGAAAAAAGACCAACAACAAAACATCCAAATATGTGGCTACCACATTTTCCATTATGAACAATGTACGATAAAACTAGATGAGAAAACGAGCCAAATAATACTATATTTTCTCATCTAGTTTATTCAGCCCTAAAAATGTAGAAAATTCTGATACATGCTAAAACATATATGAATCTTAAAGACATTATGCTAAGTGAAATAAGTCAATTACAAAAGGACAAATACTACAGGATTTCACTTATATAAGTAACCTAGAGCGGTCAAATTCACAGAGACAGAAAGCAGAATGTTAGCTGCCAGGGGTTGGTGTGAAAAGGATGGGGAGTTGGTATTTAATGGGTATGGAGTTTCACTTTGCGAAGATGAAAAAGTTCTGAAGTTGAATGGTGGTGATGGTTGCACAACAATGTGACTGTACTTAAGGCATTGTACTATACACATAAAAATGGTTAAACTGGTAAATTTTATATAATGCAAATTTTACAACTGGAAGAAAAAAAAAAAAAGCCTCACATGATCCTGCTTCCTTCTATTTAACGTTTAATATTTACTAAGTACTTAAACATAGCAAAATCAATATGGTTCTTATCGGAATTAAAAAAATGTTTAAGTCCAATACGTATAAACTGTTTAGCTGGTTTTTGTTTCCCAGTACAAAAAGTATACAGTAATTAAAATTCATTGCTTCAACTCTATTTTCTACCACTATGAACTATTTTATGACTTTGAAAAAACCCCATATTTACTCCACTTCTGATATTTGATGAACTGGTTTTAATTACCTATTCAAACCTATTTTCAGTGCTACAAGTAATACTGTTCTTTCTCAGATTATGACAATTCAATCCTAAAAATTAATGACATGAGTACCAATCACCACTTCTGTATTTGTCTTAACTCTCCACTTCCTGATTATGGACTAGGTGACTTCAAGATGTTCGTGGAAAACTGAAATTAAAAGATAATACAAATCTTAACAAGAACTTCATTTTGAAGATCCCTTGTATTTTTAAACAAGTATATAAATAAAGCAGTCTCTTAAAGACTACGTTCATTTTCTGCTTTAGAGAAAAATTTTTACTCTTATAAATCATAGCAAATATACTTCAATAAATCACAAAAAAGTTCCTATTTAAAACTTCCTCATAAAAATCAACTCACCATTTCTTTAGTTGCTTTTCCTTTTTTTAGTTTCTAAAAATTTATTCCTTCACTAAGAAATATCACTGAAATAATAAGCTTACATGCCTTTTCTGCCTTGAGGAATTTGTCAGGTCTAGTACATAACTTAGAAAGTTCCCTTAAGGTGCGCTCATTAAAAACTACAGAATAAGAAATACTTATTTAATTTCTGAGCACGTTTTAAAATGATTACATAATTTGTGATTTTACCACCCCAGCAAAAACCATTTTGACATTTTATATTTCAATTATCTTAACTTACATGAAGGTATGTTAAAACTTCAAATGTTGACCCAAAGTTAATTCTTGAAATCTTTAGTAACAATCAAATGCATGTTGGTATGGATGTGTATAAACTGTGTGTCCACTGTGTGAACTTGGGATCATTGTCTTTAAAAAGAATCACATGTATAAAGACATACAGAATGAGACTGAAACTTACTTTTGTCACCATAACCACCACAAAGTTTTTCTCATCAATTTTATATTCTTTGAGAGCAGTATCATCATTGAGGATTTTGCCTAATACATTGAGAGAAACAAAATGCTATTAAAGGCACAGTATCTTTGACTTACACATAACTGAAGTTAAAACAACTTTTTATTAATTAAAGAAAAACATTAACCAATCAGCTAAGATAAAGATAAATGGAAAAGCCTTAGTTAAAAGGGCTTAAGTATTTGACTAAAAGATGCTCAACATATATATGGTTACGTAATGCCAAGCAATTTTAAAAATGTACTACTTTATGTCATATATATATAAGACGTGCTGGACAAGGAAATATGAAATAGATCCTGAGAAAGGGGCGATCATGAAGACAAAGTAAACTCAATATTGTGATTGCTGAGGGGTCTACTGAAGAATAACCTATATTCTTTCCTGATGGGAGGAACAAATTCCTGCTCCCCAAAATACCACACACATGACAAATGAGAAATGTTCCAATGCTATGAAAGTGAGACAGTACAAAGCACTTCAGAAAAATGAGGTGGTATATACAAGAAAAGGTAAGATAACATAGAACTCAGTACTGCACAAAAAAGTACACAAGACTATGGTCATGCTGAAGGCCAAATATTAGGACTCCTTGAGGTTTCCCTTTCCTTGACTTAGTTTTCCATTTTTAAAAGTTACTGAATCAAAATCTGTAAGCATTAAAAAAGAAAATCTACTCTGTGTAAGAATGAGAAAAGAGGGCAAGACTAAAAGCCAGAAATTCAAATTTTATGTCAGCCTCTCTAGGCTTCTGAATCCTGACCTAGAAAAATGGTGGTGTTGGATCTCAAAGCCAGCGTTTCCTCTAAACTATCTCAGTCAAGGAAATACTACTAAATCTCTATCCAGGAGAAGATAAGAAACCACAGGCAACCAAGGACCCACCTTACTGATATCTGCAGTGACAGTGTTCAATATTTCCTTTGCAGAACAAAGAAGAGGGAATTGTCTACTAATTTTGGATATTTATCAAGTCTTTTTTTTCCTAACAGGCCAGTCTTAATGTCCCTTTTGACTGTGCTAGTCCTCTCCTTCGAACCTCTTGAGCCTTGGAATTAAAATGAAGGGCTGGAGACTGTAAGTCCCCTGAGGCTGCAGTCATCAGTCAGACACCCGGGACCCAGCTGAGGCTGGCCCATGACCTCTGGGAGTGCAGTCTAACTCTTTTTCCTCACTTTCTTCCTAACCAGGGAGTGGCTCAAAGAACAATACGGCAACCTATTTTTTTTTTTTTTTTCTAATAGGATGACCGGTAAGAGGATCTCAACCCTTGGCTTGGTGCTGTCAGCACCACGCTCAGCCAGTGAGCAAACCGGCCATCCCTATATAAGATCCGAACCCGTGGCCTTGGTGTTATTAGCACCACACTCTACCGAGTGAGCCATGGGCTGGCCTGGTCAAGTCTATTTTTAACATACATTTTCCTGGTTACTAATGAGGCTAGTTAAATTTGCAATTTCCTGTTCATATTCATTGCTGCTTTTTTATTGGATTACCCTTTCCTTATTGATTTCTAACACTTCATATACTCTGTATATTAATCTTTTTTTCTTCTGTCATTTATTTATATTGTCTTTTGACAGGTAAGGTTTCCTGTATTCTTCTATCAATTTTTGTTAAAATTTAATTTTAAGGGAATGATTCCAAGTACATTAATAAACACTATCAGTATAAATGCTTTCAATTCAATAGATTAAAAAGATACTCAGATTAAAAACACAAAACCCAATTACATGATGCTTACAAAAGATAGAACTAATAACATCATTGGGTGAAAAAATATATAGTCATCCCTCAGTAACTGGGCATGATTGGTTTTAGTATCCTCCCCTCCCCACCCCCATGGATACCAAAATCCCCAAATAGTACCTTATATAAAATGACATCCTATACGCATATAACCCATGTACATCCCCCCATATCCAGTACTTTCAATCATCTCTATACTTATAATACCTAATACAACGTAAGCAGTTGTTATACTGTATGAATTCTACAAATACATATATAGGCAGCTGACCAGTACAGGGATCCAAACCCTTGACCTTGGTGCGATCAAGATCATGCTCTAACCAACTGAGCTAACCGCCAGCCTGTATTATTTTTTAAATATTATTTTTTTCCCCAAAATACATTTTTTTGGGGCAACTGGCCGGTACAGGGATCTGAACCCTTGAACTTGGTGTTATAACACTGCATTCTCACCAACTTAGCTAACCAGCCAGCCCTCCCCCAAATATTTTTGATCTGTGGTTGTCTGATTCTGTGGATACAGAACCCATGGATATGAAGGGCTGACTATATAGGGTAAATGTGAATAAAGAGAAGATTGAATATTAATATCATATTCAAATGGCTGCTCTTTCTCTACTTCTATCTGTATGACCATGTTTCTGATGGAATCAATTTGAATATACTACAATTTGTAAGATAACATTTCTAAAACTAAAATAATATCACTGTAAGCAAGATATGGCATATTAATTTCAATATTTAATTCATACCTGCATAAATTAATTTTTGACCTGCTACTGGAAAGGCATCTTTCCCCTTTTCAGATTCAATCTTCTCTTTCAGTGCTTTTACCTATAGGAAAAATAAAAAAAATTTTGAAAAAGACTAAACAAAAAATGACAATCCAGAATCTGAATGATGCAAGGTAAATTTTTTATATAATTATTAATGCTTCCAAAAACCCAAAGACCACGTCTTTCTAATATTATATCCAAAAAAGACTTATGACTGATCCACATTATTAGGTACAATAGGCATAAACTGTTTTAACACCATGTGTTACATATACATAGATTTTTAAAACTTTACTAGTTAACTTGATAAATTAATTTAAAATAAAGTTTTCAACATCAAAAAGTTTTGATTTGCATAAAGTTTATGGGCTTATTTCCCACTGAGTAAGTAAAGGAAAGCTCTCTAATCTAAAAGGGCTACGAAATAAAACACTTTCACCTACAATAAGAAGAATACTTCAGTGTTAAGGGCCAAAATGTAAATGTTAAAAGGCAAATGACTCATTTTAAGAGTGTGGTAATGTTTCACTATAATCACCCATGGGGGCTTTATAAAGACCAATTAAAACAATCTGTGAGGGTGGGGCCTGAAAATCAGGATTAAAAAAAAAAAAAAAAAAAACTTTAAAGGTGGTTCCAAAGTTCAGCCAAGGCTAAGTACTATTGGACTACTTAAATTATCTTAAACAAGTAGCTTGGCTTCTCACAGCATCAGTCTCATCTAATAAAGTAAGAGGGTTTGGAATAGATGACCTTCACAGTCTCTTCAGTTCCTAAAATTATGCGACAACAGGCTCATTAGAAAGTACTCAGAAAAGGAGTCTAATCATCTCTATATTAAAAAAACAAGGCCAGGAGACTTGGCTTTCCCATGTGCCCTAATGGAACTACTTTTATTACTTTAAAGGCATAAGAATCAAGGGGGAAAATTCCATTTCCTTCAATTTCCCAGAATACTTCTGAAAATTGTCTAATTTGACTATTCTGAGTTTTATGTGAAAAACTGTGACAGAAAAGGATAGAAAGATAGGGTTCTTTTGTACAATTAAAGTGATAGTGAGTGTATCTTCTAAAATAAAAGAAATATTTACTTAATGTTAAGTATATCAACATATTCAATTTTACATAAACCTTAACTCTGAGACCAATGGAAATATCATCCAGTCAATTTTAAAGATGAGGAAATGGAAATAAAAAGGTTAAATCACCTACCCCAAAACACACTGCTACTTAATGGCAGCGAGAACTGAAAATCATCTCTTATAATGCCAAGCTTTAGAGCAGAGTATTCTGCAAACACCACATAAATCACCCCTCCTACACTGATCTTCCTGAAATGGGTCAGTAACATCACTGCTATTCTGATGTTCCCCAAGGTAGAAATCCATAAATCTCTATACACTATTTTCCACAGATCCAAATTTCAAAGGTAAAACTAACACAAGTAAAACTTCTTTAAAAAGAACTCAGAAAATCATCCCAACATCAGTCAACTCAGGACATAAATTACATGTCTTTATCCAATTCAGTATATTGCTTTTCCATTAGATGATAAGACTCTATGCTAACTGTGGTTCAGAATAAAAGCACAAGGAGTCCACAACTTCTTTTACAACTCTAGGAGTCACCCTGCGGTAAGACCCTATCAGGTGATCTGAGAAGACAAAAGTCATTATTTGCTTTTTCACTCTCATTCTCTGGGGAGTATACAGTGCAGTTTTCCAGAGGCTTTATTTTATTTTATTTTATTTTTCTTCTTTTACTTCCAGAGGTTTTATGATATCACAAATCAAAAGCACATGAGACTCCAGCTATCTCCTATTAAGCCAATCATATTTGCAAAAAATAAAATAAAATAAAACAATGTCAATCTTCTCACTACTTTGTTGTTGTTTCAGAAAAGTTATTTTTCACAAAAAAATTAATTATAACATTTAATAAATTTATTATTATTTTTCTTTTTTTTTGGTGGCTGGCTGGTAACAGATCTGATTATTTGTAAATGAAGTTTAAAAAAATTACTCAGTTTTAATTTTCAATATGGTAAATATCAATAAATATAAGCATGCAGACAAAAGTTATTTTGGTGTCCTCAATAATCTTTAGGTGTGTAAAAGAGTTTTGAAACCAAAAAGTTTGAGAACTGCTTGTTATCATACAAGCCCAAAGTCAATTAAGTGATGGCAGAGCATGGTAGGAGTGCTCTGCGGTGAATGGTAAATTTCTTTTCAAATTTGTTTATAGAGGGAGAAATAAGATGCAATATTTGAGAGTGTGATTACTTTGTGAAAACCACAAATGAATTACAGACCACATGTGTCACTATGAGTGAATCCAGTTTTCAGAACAGTAAACAGTGGATGCTCAATTTTCATGTGCTGAATGAATAAAGGAATATAGCACAGAAATATGTGAAGAAAAAATACATGAACAAAAAGTAAAAGATAAGAAAAATAAGCAGGAATCTCATTCTTGAAAGGTTAGAATGAGCGTGGTAATTAAAACAGATTAAAATATATACATACAGTTCTCTATCCAAAAGAAATTATATTTTTGTTTCCAGCACTCACAGAATATTTACTTTTTAAGTAAATATTTAAAGTATGTCTAATATTCTTAAATTTAGATGATAAAAAATATTTTACTATGTTTCAAAAAGCAGACATACTTTCTAGCTTTATATACCAAAAAGAAGGGAGGAGGGAACAACAAGAACAAAATCCCTGTAAGTTAGGAAAAGTAGAACAACAACAACAAAAGACCTCAACAAAATCATTTATCACTAAATAACTTTTGCTTCAAAGATATGAAAACTGCGATTAAAAAATATTAAGAACATAACAATGAGAACTCTGCACAAATCAATAGTTTTATGATTTAGCTAAAGTAATCATAGACTAACACTAAAAATGTTTATTATTAAACAAAGAAGAAAAATTAATAAGCTAAGCATGCAATTCAAATAGAAAAAACAAGACAAAAAAGCAAAATGCAAATAAATTAGAAAAGAGAAAAGGTTCAAAATGGTTCTTGTGCCAATAAAAAAATGGTCAAATGACAGGGGCAGTCAATTGACAATTACACAGTCAATAAACAGAATAGTTCAGCCTCATTAGTAACCAGAAACACAAATTTTGATGTTACACGTTATTAATCCAATACACTGACATACTGGAAAAAGACTGTTTTGAACAATTCTTGGTATTAACAAGTGTGAAGAGATAAATTCTCAGGATCAGAGTATCAAATAATTACAAATTTTAAGGCCAATATGCCAAAACACCTCAACATTTTTAAGGGAGAGGGCATTCGACCCAGCAATACCACGTAAAATAATGTATTAAAGAAAATAACTGGACTAGATGTTGAGCCGGGTCCAAAATTCCCGCATTGTTCCTTGTTCCTTAACTTCAACACAACCAATGATCTTTACTTCCAATCCATTTAAATTATCTAGTCACGGGACACAGGATGAATTCTGTCATCCCAAAACTGTTCTACCTGTGCAATTATAAGTGACCAATCCTCTATTCCTAGCAGCTCTCAGTAACTGTTCACTACACTTGGTCTTGAACCTCATTAAGACTGTGGTCCCTAAAGCTTCTACTTGAATTTCCATCTTCATTAGCAGCTCTATGCAGCTTAGATGACCCTGCCATCACTTCTATCACCTTCTTCCTAATATCACAAACTCCCTTGTCTTTTTGCTGCTCCTGCCAGGCAAAATTCCTTATTTGGACTAACACAGCTGAATTTATTTCCATCAGTACTCAACCACTAAAATTTACTTCAACCATTCTGTGGTGTCAGTGTCCTACCTCACTTAGCCAACAAATCTTCCTCTTTTATCTATCTAACTGACTGCCTATCCACATTTATATCCAGTCTTCAACTGGAGAAAAGGAAAGATATATTCAATTTTTTGTTCCCCCTAGTTAGCCCTCTCCTCCATTCTCCAAAAGGATATTTCAAACTAGCACTCTCCTCTAAATCTGGTTCTCAGCACCCTCCCTCTCTCTGTAGACGACCAGTTTCTACTTTACTCAAAAAATAAAAGACATCAGAGGAATTCATCTTCAACTTTGTTGCACCCAGATCCACCTACTTTCCTTTTCAAACTAGCACTCTCCTCTAAATCTGGTTCTCAGCACCCTCCCTCTCTCTGTAGACGACCGGTTTCTACTTTACTCAAAAAATAAAAGACATCAGAGGAATTCATCTTCAACTTTGTTGCATCCAGATCCACCTACTTTCCTTCCTGCCTATTAATGAAAGAGGCATCCCTTTCAAACAATTCTTACCATCTGTCCTCTGGTTTCCCCTGCTTATGTTTTCCAGTACCTTGCTAGATTCATTATGTTTTCTACCATCCCCCAGTATCCCCCAGCTTTATTTTCATTCTCTCCCTCAAAACCAGCTCATCTCCATTCACACTTAAAAAGACCCAGATATCTATCATCTTAAAAACAAAACCAAATCACTTCACAACTCCTTGTCTCCTCCTAGCTACACTCTTCTCTTTTATTCTCAAGCATTCTTCAAAAAACTAAATACATTGTCTTTACTTACCTGCAACCCCACACCTACTGTACAGAAGAGCTGACAAACAGAAACAGACTATATTCTCATTTTACTGCTTATTTTCTCCAGTAGTGCCTACTCCCAAAACCCCATTATTAAGACTGCTCTTACTAACATCACTGAATTTTACATCATGATCAGACACTTTTTCCTTCCCTACCTTACTGTCACACTGGACAGTACTGACCTTTCCCTGTTTCATACTGCCATCCCTTGACTTCCATAATGCCATACTTTTTTGGTTTTCCTCTCTCTCTGTTCACTCCTTTGTGAAATCCTCTTCCTTGGCTAGCCCTTCAAGTGTTACTTAGGGTTATACCCAAGGCTCCCTTTCCATCTACACAGATCTCCAGGATAATCCATCATATCTACTCCTACTTTAAATAACCATCCAGATGTCATCTGTATTTCTAGCCCACCTCTCTCGCCCTGACTTTCAGTTATGCATACACAACTCTCTACTGGACTCTTTCACTG